TTCAGTCCCCCTGTGCAGAGGAAGTTTGGGCTAGGTGCTGGGGGCGATCCAGTGTAGAATGTCGGTTAAGTCCCTCTAGACAATGTGCTTTTCTGGCTGGAGGTATATTGGCTTAAACCGCTTCCTTGGGCAAGACCTCTCTTGGAACTTGTGGAGGACAAAATACTCTTTGTTTCCTGACAGATGAGTTTTGTTCTTGAAACTTCATATAAATTTGATTAATATTCACTTTTCATACTCAAAGTAGAAAACAATGGTGGGCTTTTTTTTCACATACATTTTATCCACTTTAAATGATCTTTCCATCTGTGGAAAGCTGGGGTGTCTGTCCAGGTTTGTGTTCTCAGTGTACAAAGATGATTCACACAGGTAGAGAAGTAGCTGGTCTTAAGAATCCTAACTAGGCTGTGTATTTTGTTTTCTGGAATTCAAGTTCTTACTCAAAAACGTGTGTGTGTGTGTGTGTGTGTGTGAAAAAATATAGTGTGTGTGTGTGTGTATGCGTGCATGCGTACGTGCGTGCGTGCGTGCGTGCGTGCTGGTACTCAGGGCCTGGCTACTGTTCATGAACTGTTTTTGCTCAAGGCCAGTCCTCTACCACTCAAGCCACAGCTCCACTTCAAACTCGGGCACAAGTAGCTCATCTTAGCTATGCAAGAGGCTGAGTTGCCGGGCACTGCCAGTAGCTCACACCTGTAATCCTAGCTACTCAAGAGGCTTCAATCTGAGAATCCTGGTTCAAATCCAACCTGGGCAGAAAAGTCCCCATGAGACTCTTACCTCCAATTAACCACTCAAAAACCAGAAGTAGTGCTGTGGCTCAAATGGTAGAGTGCTAACCTTGACTACAAAGAGGCTCAGGACAGTGCCCTGGCCCTGAGTTCAAGCCCCACAACTGACAAAAAAAGAAAAAAATACAGGCTGAGATTTGAGGATTGTGGTTCAATGCCAGCTGGGGCAGGAAAGTCCATTCTCTCCCCCAAAATAAACAGGAAACAGAGGGGTGGTTCAGGTGGTAGAACGCTAGCCTTAAGTGGTAAAAGTGAGACCAGCACAGAGGTCTGTATCTGGGAGGCGTGGATCTGAGAAGCTGAAGCATACCGAGGCGGCGTCTTCCTTCAAGACTGTGCGCTGTTTCCCTTAAACAAGGAAAGAACTCCGGTCCCGTGGCCTGACAGGACGTAGCCCCAGTGAGGGCAACGTGATCCCCCTTCAGTCCTATCTCTCTGTCACTGGGCTCCGCCAGCCAGAGCCAGTGCTTATGGTGGTGGGACCGGATGCTCTCTTAATCCTGCAGCTGCTCCCCTGACCTCTCCCCCGAACTCTGCTGAGTCTGATGTTTAACAGACGTAGCCAGCCAGCCAGTGGCTTTAGGTACAAAATTCTCTGCTTGAACCTAATAGGAAGCGGGAGCCCGTTTTCTTAAAATATGCTATATCTTCTGTTTTCCCGGTGGCAAAAGACTGACCGATGCCCAGTACTAGCAATAAGAAAGAGACAAAGACAGAAGAAAGGGAAAAAGAAAGGAAGAAGGAGGGAAGGGAAGGGAAAAGAAGGGGAGGAAACCATTTGCTAGGTACCAGTGGCTCATGCTGTAATCCTGGCTGTTCAGGAAGCTGAGTTCAGGAGGTTCACAGTTCAAGGTCAGAAAAAAAGTTCACTACACTCCATCTCCAAAATAATCGGTGAAAATCAGGGCTAGAGGCATGGCTCAAGTGGTAGAGCACCAGCCTAGCAAACACTGCTATGATTTGGCCACCTGAGGCTGTGAGACTTTTTTCATTTAGGATAAAGGCCATCAGAGCATAGTTAGCCAGATTAGCTAAATGGACATGCGTGGTCCTGCCTGGGCAATTTGCTTCAATGGTGCTGTCAGTGGCTGGCTCGCCCACAGGGCTGTCACAGAGCCAGGGCCTGAGATAAAGGCTCTGACAGTTACTGCCCCTGGTGTTTAGGCTCCAGATGAGAAGTGAGTGGTGTTAAAATATTTCTTTTTTGACCTGAGATTTTGTCAGTGAGAATAACAATGTATTGGATAGCTCCGGAAGGGCTCAGTGAGGAAAAGTTCATCAAAGACACAGCAGTAAAGTAAGGACCCAAGCCCAGGGCCCCCCGGAGGGGTGGGGGTAAGCTGGCTCCTATTGGAGCCTGGGTTGGAGGCACTCGCTCTTTTACTTAAGGCTTGACAAGCAGCAGGACCATGGCCGTCCTGAACAGTGAAATTGAGGGATGGATTTGCAATGTTGGGGTGAGGGCAGGGATATAGCACAGGGCCCTGCAGAGCAAACCCCAACCACCATTCTGTTTACCTAAAGCTTTGGGGGGCTTTGCATCTTGAGAATGTTTCTGATCCCTATGCCTTTCCAGGGGAATGTCTGTAAGAATCTGTCTGGAGTGCACGCCCAGCACCAACGAGTAAATATTTCTGTTCGTCTTGGAGACCAGGCGCTCCTCTGTGCAGTTCTGAGGGCTCTCGTCCATGCTGGAATTCATGAGTTTCCTCTGAAGGACAGGTGGATGCTCATGGGAACATGCATGCACGTGCACATGCCTGCATGTACATCCACGCGCATGTGCGCGTGTGCGCACACACACACACACACACATACACACACACACACACAGCTGGAATGGCCAGGGCAGAAGTTGGTGTGCTTCCTAAAGGTCTGCTCTCTATAACTCATTTAGCCCCGCCTCCACAAGATGGGGCATCACACCCTTGGCATGCCACTAGGAAAGTAGCCACACTAAGAGACCCGTAGTTCTGCCCCAGCCTACTTCCAAAAGCAAGAAAGGTATTCCATTTGGAGCAGGTAACAACTAAGTCCAGAGACTATCCTAAATTTAGACTGGCGTGTCTGTTAGATGGATTTAAAACCACTAAAATCACCTCAACCATTGATTTATATACAAGGCTCTGGCAAGTTCCTCTAAAATCAAAATTTAAAATAGCATGTGAAACTCCAGATGGAGAATAAGAGCATTCGCTGTCCCCTGTAGCCACAGGAGCCCCTGCCCTTTCAACCTGGCTGTCACATGAATTACCGGGTGAGCCAGGAACACCTGCCAACGCGCCTATCCTAGGGTGGTTACCTGCAAAGAAGCATGAGCGTGACAGCCGCCATCTTCTCATCCCTAGTGCTGGAGTAGCGCAAGAAACCCTCAGCTCAGTGCAGGGCTCTGCTTCTAGAAATACTCAATCCCTAGGACTTAGGAGCCCCAGCATAGATATACATTGAAGCTCTGAAAAATTGGCCAATACCTGGAATCCTGTTTTGAGTGAACGTGGGCATTAATATCTGTTTCTTACACTGCCAGCTGTATCATTACCTTAAAAAGAGATGGGAAACACTTGTGAAGTATTAGTTTTTCAGAAGGATTTGATACTGTCAGGTTCGGAAGAACTCTTCAACTTAGTCATGAGTGCATCAAATACTAGATTAAATAAGACTTACAATCAAGGTGTTGAAAAAAATGTGGGCCTCTGAAGTAAGACCTGTCTAGGGGAACATCGTTAGCCAAAGAGAAGGTTTTGTCATCTGAGCAAAAATAGCCTTGAGGGATTGCAGAGGCCGAGGTAAACTCTGGCCATGTGGCCATGTGGCTGTGAGTCAGAAGTGGGTCTGTCCTGCATGTGGAAGAAGGCTCTGCTGAGGGCTGTGGCGGCACCATGGGCATTCCACAGGGAGGGCAGGCAGCGGTGAGCACAGCAGATTCTGCCCAGTGCTGCCAGGCCAAGCTGACTGACCAACAGAGGGGTGTTTCCCAAGCCACCGGGGTGGAATGTGCAAGTGTTCTGTTGTCTGCTGAGTTTTGCTTGCACAAGGTCTGACCAGTGACCTGCAGAGGCCGATTGTCTGTGGGGCCCCTTAGGTCTAAGTGCCAGTGCTGGCCCTGTGAGGGTCATGAGGCATCCATGCTTGGCCAGGCACTGTGGCTGACCGCATCGGTCAGGGGGCAGGGGAGACCGGGAATGGCTGGTTGATACTTAGCCAACGTGAAGGAGAAGAAATGAGGTCAGTGTGCTTCTTGTGATCTCATAGTGTCAGTGCTCGGTTCTGTGCACCCACACGGAAAGTCAGAGCCAAAGACTTCCACGTGACCAGCTGGCCCCCAAGTCCTTTTACCTACAAACTCAAGCTTGACAGTGAAAAACATTCTGTCCCCATTGGGACTATCTAGCCAGAGAACTCCTTCAGCTACCCACGAGACTCATTAAAGAGTTATGTCTCTAAAATCACTGGACACCAGGTAGCTCATGCCTGTAATCCTGACTACTCAGGAGGCTGAGATCTAAGGAGTGTGGTTTGAAGCCACCCCAGCAGGAAAGTCCATGAGACTCTTCATCTCCAATTAACCAAGAGACAGTGCTCAGGTCCTCAGTTCCAGCCCCAGTAGCAGCACGTGCTCGTGCACACGCGCGCACGCACGCACACACACACACGAGTCTCTGACATGATGTCCCTGCCAGCTAGTACTTAAAAATAAGAGGTTTCCAGTTTCTCTTCCTAGCTAACCATCAGTGTTCTGTTAGTGGGAGGTTTGTGCTTTCCTGCGGTTGGGCCACACTGAAGTTGTGGGTACTATCCAAGGTTGAGAGGAGTTTGGTAAGTGCTCGTGGCTGATCCACTCTCCTAGACCTGACCTGCATCTCTGGGCACAGTGGGGAGCGCTTCCTGCATCCTTTCCAGGATGTGCTTTCCTCATTCCTGTGGAAGGGGCTGTGGGCCCTGGGTGGCAGTGATGTGTCATTGTAGACTGGTGGACTGTGACAGGCACACCAGTCTTGGGCAGGATGTGGCAGCTAGGCGTGGTCAGGGGCAGGGCAGGTCTGCGAATCTCTCCGTGAAGACTTGCTGTGAACCTAAAGGTGCCTGAAAGATGCTTGTGGACTATGTCAGATGAAGTCCTGCTTGGTAAGGCGGGAAGAGTCTGAGCCCAAGGCGTCAGACTGCTGTGACCTGATGGGTAACTCTCTGCTCTGTGTTTGATTTCTGCAGGGTGTGAAGAAGTTTGACGTGCCTTGTGGAGGGAGAGACTGCAGCGGGGGCTGCCAGTGCTACCCGGAGAAAGGAGGCCGGGTAAGTGAGCGCGTCATCAGTGCTGCCTCCCGGTCTGTCCGGTGGGAAGTGTGCATCTGCCTGATTCAGTCACATGCATACTCTGCTAAGAAGTCTAATTCAAATATACCACACACACACACATACACACCCCCAAGTGAGCAAGAATACAATGCAGACTTGAGTTGGTTTCTGTCACTTTCCTTTCTCTTGTTCACTGTTATGAATACACATAGTTGTCCCTGGGTACCCATAGGGATCTGAGTCCAAGACTCCATGGATAAAACTTGGAGGATTCTCAAACTTTAATATAAGATAGCACAGTATTTGTATTTTCACTTAGGCTATGCATATATTCCCACATAAGTAATCATTTTCAGATTACTTATATCAAATGCAGTATAACTACTGTGTAAGTAGTAGTGCCACTGTATTATTTGGGGAATGATGAGAGAGAAAGGTCTGTATGTACTCAGAACAGATACTTCATTTTTTTTCAAATATGTTCAATCCATGTTCAGTGGAACCTGAGATACAAATGCAGAGATGCAGAGGGTTGGCTATAAGTATGTGCATATGTATGTATAAATAAGCACGTGTATGGATATATGTTAATGCAATGGTGATGTATGCTTATAATTTACCTAAACACATATATTGTCTAAAAATAGTATAAGGAGGAACATATAGCTACATTTTTAGTCTAGCATAGGCATACAAAGGAGAGAAGACTGACAATTACTCCGTGGAGAGAGTCCAGATTGAGATCACACAGTCTCTGGTTCTGTGAGTTCCCTAGCACATTTCACTTCATAGAGAAGAAAGAAGCCCCCACCTTGGTTACCCTCACACCTGCAGGACTTAACACATCGTCCGGTAGTAGATTTAACATGTTCGATGTTCAGTGGACATGACTGATGTCTGGTTCTCCATCTTTAAAACTGCAGTGTTGGCAATCATTTCTTATTTTAAAGCGACAATGTTTAACGGAGTAGATTAGTAAGAATGTGTGCTTAGTGTGCACAGGCCTACTTCCATGCCCAGCACCATAAAACAAATCTTAAAGAAAACATACTTTTGTTTACTTCTGTTTTGGTGCTGATCCTAGGGCTTGAACTCAGGGCCTGGGCACTGTCCCTGAGCTTTAGTGCCCAAGGCTAGTGTTCTACCACTTGAGCCACAGCCCCACTTCTGGCTTTTTGGTGGTTAATTGGAGATAAGATCTCGTGGACTTTCCTGCCCTTGCTGGCTTTGAACCATGATCTTCAGATCTGAGCCTCCTGGGTAACTAAGATTACAGGCATACACCAGGTTAAATAATATTTCCATTCACATGTTCAAGCCCATGTTTTGGGGGTGGGGGAAGGGTACGGAGTCATGTTTCCTTCCCTGCTCTGTCTTCTCCACCTCCTGCAATGCATGCAGTCCTTCCTTGCCTGCATTTTGTGTCATGAGTACAGGCTGTGGAAGCTCTCGAGAGCTCCTGTCTGAATTACCCCCCTTGTCAGAGATCTTAACAGCCGCAGTGTTTTATCTCCATTCCTGAGTCTCACGATGAAGTGTACCAGGTAACACTGGTGGCAGGAACGCTGTGAACTCCAGGTCTCATCATTACCCTAGTGGTACCTGCATGTGCTGTGTGTACCAGAAGCCATGATTCACAAAGTGGGAGCCTTCCATTTTAGTCAAGTATATCTCGATTGAGACAGCAGACTTTGTGCTTTAGGAATTGCAAGTTGACAATGGTTTACCAGCATTTAGAAAAGATATATGTTTAAAATCTATTGAAAGTATTTCATGAGATTTAAGTCTCCCCTGGGTTCCTTGCTATAGAATTTTCCCAACACTGAAATAATTAGTCTATCGTGAAAACACTGGCTGCTCTCAGCCCTGCACACTGGGCTGGCCCAGCCTTATATGGACATTGTAGATAAATCGCTGCTGTACAAACAGGAGTGAGACCAGCTGAGGGGACAGAGTTAGACTCCAGAGGGACGCTGCATTCTCCTCTGGAATCAACCAAACAGAACCCAAACAAGCCAAGGCAAGGCTGTTGTCTGTGCTTCCTCACATTCTGTGATTATCCAGTGCAGAAACGATACAGCACAAGTTTCCGTGATGCCTCTGCAGGAATGCTGTTCTTTGGTGAAGACTGCTAATTCTGATGATTTCTCTGTGCGCTGCTGTCAGCACGGCCACATGCCTCATATTCTGCCTCCAGATCTTCTTCTAGGAGGCTAAGGTTCTCTGTGATGTAGAAAGCTCACAGCACAGATGTTGAACCTGAATCATATTCTGGCTTCTCACCAAGGAGGCACCTGTATCTATTATTTAGCCATTGCCAGGCAAAGGGAAAACATGACACCTCTGGTCATCTGAACCAGCACCTTTGATGCAGGGCACGGCCAGCTGGCCTTGCCACCAATTATCCAGGCAGGTGATCCGTGCTGAGTTTAGTAGAGATTTCCCACTGTCCTACAAGGGATGGGGAGTCAATACACTCAGGGGTACCACAGGGGTGGTTCTATCCAGGTGCTCACCCCCAGTGGCTTGACAGGCTAGAGAGCAGCTCTCCAGTTGTACCTGTCCTAAGACCCACCTGCAGTGGGCCCACAAGCCACAGAGAATGTCACAGCAGTCAGTGCCCAGGCCGAGTGCCATCGTACATCAGAGAGAAAGATGAGAGACATTCTGTTGTTCAAAGCTGGGAGACATGAGGGCCACTATTGACCAAGGCTGTGCACTGCATTACTGAGGATGTCCTTTAGTCTATTACTGAAGATATTTCTGTGTGTGTACATGCACATACATGTGCACGCATGTATGTGCACACGTGCCAGTACTAGGGCTTGAACTCAAGGCCTAGACACTTTCCCTTAAATTTTTTTTGCTCAAGGCTGGCATTCTACCACTTAAGCCACACCTCCACTTTCAGCTCTTTTTTTTTTTTTTTGCCAGTCTTGGCACTTAAATTCAGGGCTGGGCACTTACTCTGAGCTTTTTTGTTCAAGGCTAGCACTCTACCACTTGAGCCACAGCACCACTTGAGGCTGGGTGATGAGTAAGTCCCGTGGACTTTCCTGTCTGGTCTGGCTTTAAACCGCAATCCTCAGATCTCAGCCTAGGATTACAGGCATGAGCCACAGGCTTCCAGCAAGATCTTTCTTATTAGATAGTTGCATATATTTCTCTAAAAGCTAGTAGGAATATAGATTCTGTTTCACTGTTGCAAACCTAGTCTATGTGGATTAAACACTTATCTGTAAATACATTTATCCAAAGTGTGGTTCTGTAGCAAGCAGGGTCAATTCTGCCCCACTTCTGGCTTAGTTGTATTTTTTTAAACAATGTAGCACATAAAAATAGCAGCTGGTGGAAGCTGCTGTCCAGGGAGCTGCGTGCAGACTTTGTTCTTTCCCACAGCTTCCCCTGGGGGTCTCTGATCCTAGCTTTTCCCCACGGTGCTACCATGGCTGGTGGTGGTGGAGACACCAATCTGCAGTCCGCCCTCCCCGGCCCCTGCTAACCCAGCCTTATATGGACATTGCACCCAAGTCTTCCACAGTGACAGCCAACAGCAGAAAGTCTGTGACTGGATAATGCTTAGACTCCAGGCAGAAATCACAAATGCATGTGGAAGTCAGTTCCAAATGAGTTCTCGTATTACCAAGTGAATGAGCTTTATGTAGTCTCTTCCCGCAGATTCCTTAGGGGCAGAGGTAAGGGAGAGAATGATTCTCACAGGACCAGCTCTCAGGCCACACCTAATTCCATCAAGCAGGGGTAAGCGGGAACTATGGAGGAGCCCTCCACAGCCCAGTCAGAGCTAAGGCAGCACAGAGAAGTGATAACCCACCTCTTCTAGTGAACAAATAAGTTAATTAATAACAAATTACATGTTGAAGGACAGATGGTATCTACACAGCGAATTAGTATAACCATGAATTCTAAGCCCTGATCCACTGACTCCTTAGAAAGCCAAGCTACCAGCCCACCTAGCTTTCTCTTTTGTATTTTGAATTTTTTTTTCCTGTGCCAGTCCTGGGGCTTGAACTCAGAGCCCAGGTACTGTGCCTGAGCTTTGGTGCCCAAGGCTAAAGCTCTACCACTTGAGCTATAGCTCCATTTCTGGCTTTTTGGGATAGTTAATTGAAGGTAAGAGTTTCCCAGACTTTCCTACCTGGGCTGGCTTTGAACCACTATCCTCAGGTCCCAACCTCCTGAGATACTAGGATTACAGGCGTAAGGCAGGGCACCCAGCTAGTTTCTTTCTATTATGGTCTTTAGATAGTTGTACAAAGGAGTTGCCATTCAACAAATTAGTTTATAAGTACAGTGTGTTGATCAAAGTCACTCCTTCCATCATTCACCCCCATCTCTCTCAACCCTACCCTTCCCTTCCATTTATCTGATTTTATTTTTTACACATGCATATTTAATATTACTGGCTCTGTAAAACCAACCTTCCTTTCTCTTTTCTTTTTATTTTCTGGGTGTCAGTACTAGGACTCAAACTCAGGGGCTAGGCACTTTCCCTGAGCTTTTTTGCTCAAGACTGATATATTTTTTTTTTGTCATGGGGCTTGAACTCTGAGTCTGAGCGCTGTCCCTCAGCTCTTCAGTTCAAGGCGAGCACTCTACCACTTGAGCCACAATGCCACTGACGGTTTTCTGGTGGTTTATTGGAGATACGAGTCTCATGGACTTTCCTTGCCTGGGCTGGCTTTGAACCATGATCCTCAGATCTCAGCCTCCTGTGTAGCTAGGATTACAGGCATGAACACCAACACCCAGCTTCCTCTCTCTTTTCTATTCTTTTTCCTCTTGTGCCTTGGAAGCAGAAGGCAATAGAGTAGGAAGCATCCAAGTGAATTTCTCTTGTAGGATTTCTACAAAGTCAGGTTGGTGCCACCTTTGTGACATAGGTGTTCGTAATGCAGAAGGTGATGGGAGAGCGTGGTGGCCGGTGAAGTGACAGGTTCCACAGATAATGACAGCTTGGCCACCTGAGAGGTGACGAG